AGTGGGTGGTACTGGTGTCTTAGTGGGTGGTAATGGGTGTCTTAGTGGGTGGAAATGGTGTCTTAGGGTGGTGGTAATGGTGTCTTAGTGGGGTGGTAATGGTGTCTTAGTGGGTGGTAGTGGTGTCTGAGTGGGTGGTAATGGTGTCTTAGTGGGTGGTAGTGGTGTCTGAGTGGTTGGTAATGGTGTCTTAGTGGGTGGTAAGTGGTGTCTTAGTGGGTGGAAATGGTGTCTTAGTGGGTGGTAATGGTGTCTTAGTGGGTGGAAATGGTGTCTTAGTGGGTGGTAATGGTGTCTTAGTGGGTGGTAATGGTGTCTTAGTGGGTGGTAGTGGTGTCTTAGTGGGTGGTAGTGGTGTCTTAGTGGGTGGTAGTATTATGAGTATTGGCCTATAACATTTCCAGCAATAATATTAATAATGACAATAATCTCACCGAGGCACCATATACACCAACCCGTCATATGACTACACCATACACCATGATATACAACCCATCACTCTATATATTATGACTGGAAATTTATGAAAATCTGTTCTTCACAAGTCATGCGGGACATGTTGCATGTCTATTGCAATCAACTATTAGACATGCGCTCAGAAACTACTATGTCCATTGAGAGTTGTGAATCACCTTGAATCCAAGATGCAGTTTCCTCAGTCTTACCACTCGCAAATGAAGGCTAAAAGTGGAAGAGAGAGAGAGAGAGAGAGAGAGAGAGAGAGAGAGAGAGAGAGAGAGAGAGAGAGAGAGAGAGAGAGAGAGAGAGAGACAGAGAGAGAGAGAGAGAGAGAGAGAGAGGAGAGAGAGAGAGAGAGAGAGAGAGACAGAGAGACAGAGAGAGAGAGAGACAGACAGACAGACAGAGAGAGAAGAGAGGAGAGAGAGAGAGAGAGAGAGAGAAGAGAGAGAGAGAGAGAGAGAGAGAGACAGAGACAGAGAGAGAGAGAGATACAGAGATAGATAGAGAGAGAGAGAGAGAGAGAGAGAGAGAGAGAGAGAGAGAGAGAGAGATAGAGAGAGAGAGTGAGAGAGAGAGAGAGAGAGAGAGAGAGAGAGAGAGAGAGAGAGAGAGAGAGAGAGAGAGAGAGAGAGAGAGAGAGAGAGAGAGAGAGAGAGAGAGAGAGAGAGAGAGGGGGGGAAAAGAGAGAAGAGAGAGAGAGAGAGCGAGAGAGAGAGAGAGAGAGAGAGAGAGAGAGAGAGAGAGAGAGAGAGAGAGAGGGAGAGAGAGAGAGAGAGAGAGAGAGAGAGAGAGAGAGAGAGAGAGAGACAGAGAGAGAGAGAGAGAGAGAGAGAGAGAGAGAGAGAGAGAGAGAGAGAGAGAGAGAGAGAGAGAGAGAGAGAGAGAGAGAGAGAGACAGAGAGAGAGAGAGAGAGAGAGAGAGAGAAGAGAGAGAGAGAGAGAGAGAGAGAGAGAGAGAGAGAGAGAGAGAGAGAGAGAGAGAGAGAGAGAGAGAGAGAGAGAGAGAGAGAGAGAGAGAGAGAGAGAGAGAGAGAGAGAGAGAGAGAGAGAGAGAGAGAGAGAGAGAGAGAGAGAGAGAGAGAGAGAGAGAGAGAGAGAGAGAGAGAGAAGAGAGAGAGAGAGAGAGAGAGAGAGAGAGAGAGAGAGAGAGAGAGAGAGAGAGAGAGAGAGAGAGAGAGAGAGAGAGAGAGAGAGAGAGAGAGAGAGAGAGAGAGAGAGAGAGAGAGAGAGAGAGAGAGACAGAGAGACAGAGAGAGAGAGAGAGAGAGAGAGAGAGAGAGAGAGAGAGAGAGAGAGAGAGAGAGAGAGAGAGAGAGAGAGAGAGAGAGAGAGAGAGAGAGAGAGAGAGAGAGAGAGAGAGAGAGAGAGAGAGAGAGAGAGAGAGAGAGAGAGAGAGAGAGAGAGAGAGAGAGAGACAGAGAGAGAGAGAGAGAGAGAGAAGAGAGAGAGAGAGAGAGAGAGAGAGAGAGAGAGAGAGAGAGAGAGAGAGAGAGAGAGAGAGAGAGAGAGAGAGAGAGAGAGAGAGAGAGAGAGAGAGAGAGAGAGAGAGAGAGAGAGAGAGAGAGAGAGAGAGAGAGAGAGAGAGAGAGAGAGAGAGAGAGAGAGAGAGAGAGAGAAGAGAGAGAGAGAGAGAGAGAGAGAGAGAGAGAGAGAGAGAGAGAGAGAGAGAGAGAGAGAGAGAGAGAGAGAGAGAGAGAGAGAGAGAGAGAGACAGAGAGAGAGAGAGAGACAGAGAGAGAGAGAGAGAGAGAGAGAGAGAGAGAAGAGAGAGAGAGAGAGAGAGAGAGAGAGAGAGAGAGAGAGAGAGTCATCCACCTACTTTTCGTCCATCATCCACCTACTTTTCGGCCATCATCCACCTACTTTTTGTCCATCATCCACCTACTTTTCGTCCATCATCCACCTACTTTTCGGCCATCATCCACCTACTTTCGTCCATCATCCACCTACTTTTCGGCCATCATCCACCTACTTTTCGGCCATCATCCACCTACTTTTCGTCCATCATCCACCTACTTTTCGGCCATCATCCACCTACTTTTTGTCCATCATCCACCTACTTTTCGTCCATCATCCACCTACTTTCGTCCATCATCCACCTACTTTTCGTCCATCATCCACCTACTTTCGTCCATCATCCACCTACTTTTCGTCCATCATCCACCTACTTTTCGGCCATCATCCACCTACTTTTGGTCCATCATCCACTAACTTTTCAGCCATCATCCACCTACTTTTGGTCCATCATCCACTAACTTTTCAGCCATCATCCACCTACTTTTCTGCCATCATCCACCTGTTTTTCGTGGATGAGACACAGTTACAATTACAGTTCCTAGCGTAGGATAGACTTATATATGAATGAGTTTGTGTGGGTATAAATAGGAACTGCCTTGTATGGACCAATCGGACCTCTGCAGTTTCTCGAGTTCTTGTGTTGTATGCAGGAGGCCGCCATGCCCGCCTGTACCGTTTACAATGTGTGCGTGTTGATTGTGGGTGGCGAGCCCCATGTAAATGTTTTCACTGGTAGGAGTCTGTTTACATTTTTGGGTCATTACAGTGTGCTATTTATACTCTGCCTCTCCTTGATTCGCTATGCAGTGTAGAATCCCTATGTTAGGGACTCTACACTGCATAGCGAATCAAGGAGAGGCTCTACACTCTCACCACCATTTGTCTAGGGAAGTAAGGTTATGCACGAATGTAAAAACACATATGTACTCGTGCATATAAGTACCCCCACGCACACACACACATATACCAATGTATGAATGACAAAACATTAAAACACCCACGCATATGGGCACTTACGCAAACGCATACACACTTACATATGTAAAAAAACCACACGTACATTGACACATAAAGGTACGAGCGTGAGCACACACACACACGTACACAACCCTAGGGGCTGTGACCATCAAGGCCATATGAGCCAGCGTACCGTTCACACTTGAGGCACAGTATCTGTGACACCAAGCCTAGTGCCAAATATCAAAGGTAAGCCAAGATATATATATATATATAAAACACCTAGTGATAAAAACATCCGATGATGCCAAGTCTAAAATCAAAATCTCACCGTCATCACTGCCTGTCAACCTTGAAAGTTAAAATTAACATATTTCATAGTTAAAATATTAATTGGTTAAACTCAAGTTATTTTTTTTAGATACTATTTAGAGTTATATTACATTGTGCGTGTGATTATTTTCTGGAATTCCTAATTTATATTTGAGCCAGAGATAAAATAATTGTAAGGAGCGAAACGTTCAGGGTTCGAACCCCGAGCCTTTCAGATCAGCGACAAACATTTATATATATATATATATATATACGCTGCGTTTCTGGAGTGCGATTCATGAACATTTTGCGTCACCAATAATCGGTTTTCGTAAAAATTAATCAGATTATCATAAAGATTGTTATTAACTATAACAATAACAATAAATAATTCTAAATTAGTCAATAATTCTATATTTATTACACAAATAAATCGCAGTATAATGACATATCACTGGAATATCAGCCGGAGTAATGTGGGGATTCGAACCGGTGTTCTAGTGACTAGACGCTTGCCATTGTGATTTCTAAAGAAGATTTTCCGCCACATTACCGGTGTTAAATAAAGAATGAGTAATGGAAATATGAGTGACAGGTGAGGCGTTATGGGTACATTAGACGTCAGCTCCAAGCTTAATGTGTCATCCTTCAGAGTGATTGATGTATCTATAGGGCAGACACGCGTTGATGACGGGTTAACCCTATGGTGGTGTATGATGTCTGTGATGTCTGCTGGGGCCCCCCTCCCCCAAACCCCCCCCCCCCGATGTTATTACCTTCATCCCTGCCCTAACCTTCTCCCCTCCCCTCCTCGCTCCC